TATCACGAAACTTATCGCGCCACGAAGAAATTGCCGTGGCTCTCGCATACACTTCGCCGCCGCGCAAGTGCAAGCCTCGTAAGCTCCGGGGCCCGCCTACGTGCGCCCTTATACCTGCCCACCCACGCCAAGCATACATCACGGCCCGCTACTTTCGTTCTACGCTCAAGAAGAAGAAGAAGAAGAAGAAGAAGAAGAAGAAGAAGAAGAAGAAAAAGAAGAGGAAGAAGAAGAGGAAGAGGAAGAAAAAAATACCGTCTTCTTTCGTACCTTCGCCCGCTTCCCGCTCGTTCAAGTTTCGCGAACGGAATCCTCTCCCTCGCGGGGAACTCCGCGTGGAAAAAAAGCTTCGTCGTCGATGAGGCCAAGTAGCGCGAGTAGGTCGAGTTTATCGTTTTTACGTAATTCTCTCGTCGGTCGGGGGAAGGGGAGAGAGGCAGGATAGACTTAATTAAACTCGAAGCCGGACCGGGGAGAATGCGGAGCAGCAGAGTCGCCGGTTATTTCGGAGCCGAGCGAAAAGTTATGCGCTACTAATTTGCGCGTGGACACCGGTTACGGTTAATTACGAGGAGGGAGAACGTCAGCGATATGGACAGACGCCTGAGAAAATATTGGCGGCACTGGAGGTGGCTTGTAAACAGGGATCCTTGCCAGAAATTCCGCGCGGCCCGCATCGCCACCAGATGCATGCGCCGTCTCCCTTCCTTGCTCGCCGCGCAATTAACACCGTTCGGGACCGTCGCGGCCTAGCAATTATCGTGGCATCGCGTGGGCGTCCCCTGGAACGTGCACCCGAATAAATATCAACCGCGTGGTCGAATCGAAAAAAATCACGATCCTAACCCCTCCTCCCTCCCTCTTCCTCCTTCGAGCCTTCTTAGACTTGATTTGTGCTCAATTACCGAGAGCTTCCCTCTCCCTCTCTGTATGCGTTTTCTTGTTACAGGCGAGTCGTCGTACGCGGATGGACGTTTCGGACGTTTCAGGCGTCGCGACGATTTTATTTATACGGCGGCGCAAACCACCCGCGTCTCCGTGGCGTCGCGAGTGGCGAAGCGGAGCGGAGCGGAGCGGGCAGATGGCACGGACAAAACGTGCAACGATGGAGGGAGGGGAGGGGGGAAGAGGGGAAGGGAGGGCAATTCGTTTCGCATTTTATATCCGGCCTCGGCCACCCGTCAGCCGATTCACCCCCCTCTGGACGACATCGGTGAACGAGGATTTTATTTCGATCCTTGGTGGGGTTTAGTGAACCTGAGACGGAGGCCGGCCTTCTCGGATTCGCGGGAATAATTTAGGCGGATGTTGTTCTCGGAAAATTGGTGGACGGAGGTGGGAAAGGGGGTGGAGGGAAAGTTTACGATGGATCGTCGGTAGAAAGAAGTAAAGAAGCAAAGGATACATAGTTTGAAGAAATCGTTTTTAGATTCGGGAATTGGGCAAGGGAGTTCCTTCGAACGATCTTACAGATAATATACTTCCATCTTTTGTTTTCTAGAAAAAGTTATCTTTACGAAAAGTTAGTCTCGATTGGAAGACGGAACTGCGTACTACGTCTTCAAATTCTTTATCTCTTTTTTTATCACTTATCCTAAAATAATCATTCTATCCGTTTGCCCGAAAATATCTCGTGTTCGCAAAAAATTCTTGCAATTTATCTTTATTAATATAATTCCTGAAATAAATTCGGGAAAGGATTTCGTGAAACGGCCAAAGCGAATCCAATCCCCTCTCCTCCCCTCTCCCTTCTACCATCGACGCAACGAAATTTCAGCAAGAGAGACAACGGGTCAGGAGGGGGGGAGGATCGCGTATTTTCCGTGAAGTTGTTCGAGAGCGGAAGGGTGAAGAGGGACGCTTAAACATCACGGTAAACAGGGACCGGTGTAATTCGGATGCTGGCGCAGGTGTTACGCGGAAACATCTATCAAGATAGCGAGATACGAGGCGAGGGGAGTGTCCCGTCCTCTGTAAAGAAAAGTGGGGGAGGGGAGAATTGTGGATCAACTCGAAGAAACGGGGGGATTTCTCGGGACAGGACGCACTAAGCTTGCACGAGGGTGCTCTCGTCTTAACCCTTCCCGTTTCGTAACGGATCGCTTGGAATTAACTTTTCTCAACGAGTCCTCCTTCGTGTAACGTGAAATATCGAAACGAAAGAATTTTTACTTTTCACGGATATTTCATCGTAATAATAAATATTCGAAACAATGAGAGGAAACTTTAGTTTGATCGGTACAGTTTGTCAAAAAACAAATTGTTGAACAAATTATGCGATATTTATAAATCAAACATTTTGGTTAAATCATAAAATCGTTGATTTTAAGAAATATATGTAATCGTGTTTCGATACAACGAGCTTTCTACATAACGTAATATAAATCACGAGAAATGGATCCGTTTAACGATAATTTAGTAATTATTAAAGAATTTACATTTTCTCTTGCAGATAATATACCAGAAAGAACGAAGAAATTCAATTTATCTAATTTATCGCGCCGATTAAATGTATCCCACCCGGTTCATAGATCGAGAAAGAAATTATATCGGTATACTCGACCCTTTCCACCGCCCCGATCCACTAAATAAAAGAAATATTCCGGCCAATAACGTTAAGTAGACGTCTCGCCCGACACCCTAAAATCGCCATCCCCTTCGATATTCCACTCACGAGCGAAAAACCCCCGCTTCCAATCATCGTTCCCCTTCCCAATTTCCTCCTAAATTATCGATTCGTCGTAAAAGGACGCGCCATTCAACAACAACGTCGAGAACGTTTCGAAAGTCGAGGATCAGACACACACGCGTCTGATCAAACCTGATCGACGATAATCCCGAGATGGCGCGTCGAGCAATTAAATTCGCGTTTTCCACGAGAACGAGACGAAAGGAGAGAGAGAGAGAGAGAGAGAGAGAGAGACTAAAAGACTAAAATCCCGCGAGACTAATTTCGGCTCGGCCATAAACAGCAGTCGAACGATTAACCGTATCATTATGAATCATAAGAGGAACGAAGGCACCGGTTTATTAATTGCGATCGTTTCGACCGGCATTCCGCGCACGGCAAATTGCCGCGAGGTAACGCGAATCACCATAAAATGTAACTTCGCCATCTTGTTGCTTGGAATCTCGAGCATGTACTTCACTTTTTTTCTTCCTTCCTTTCTCCTTTCTTATATTTCCTTTTTAATTCGAACATCGATGGAGAGTGAAAAAAAAAAAAAAAAAGAAAAGATTTAACGTGCTTTATATATCAACGACGCATTCCTGTAACGATTATTGTTCGATGGTCTCGAACAAATGATAAAAATCGATCAAAGCGTGTGGATTTTTGAACAGTATGAATTAGAAATTTTTATCTAGTCAGCCTTTCTTTCGCTCTAAGATAAAAGATTCAATTTATTTCTAGAATCGAGGTAGAAATTTTTACACGCATAGTTCATTTATTCAATAATTCGACTCGAGATAAAAACGACTCGTATAAAAAAAGGATTAGAAACGTATTACAGAACTCTTCGAAAGTATAAGAGAGCAGCGAATTCGAATTCCTGGGCGCTTATCAGCCGCACCTGCAACCGCATTCTAAGCGGATGCAGCCACCTACGAGGTTAGCCGGTTAACCTGTTCCCGATCGAGAGATCCTGGTGGTGAATACACCGTGGTGAATCGTGTGGATCGCGATTGGATCGCGTTGTCGCGCATTTTTCGCTATCGCGTTTATGGCGAACGGGAACCGAAAATCCTCCAGCCGAGTACACGCGCCCGTGAGTGCGTTTATCGGTAGCGTCAAAATTCCACTGAATTTACGATATTCTCCTCGGTCTCGATACAAGGATCCTCGAGGACGAGAGGGAAAGGAAGGGAAGAGAAGAGAAGGAGAGAGAATTAAGAAAAAGGGGAAGAGGACGGTGATGAAGAGGATCGAAGGAGGAAGAAATGGCTGGTTGGAACCGAAGGTTGGTTGTCTCTGAAAAATCTCTCTTTCTCGCTCTCCCCTCTACTTCCACGGCCCAGATACGAAAATCGTAAAATCGGTACATAATAGCGGCTAATATAATCCGGTACGGCACTTCGCGCCGAGATTAAAGGTGCATAAAGCGGACTGTCATAAACGTTTTACAAGCTGCTCGCCGCCTACCTGGCTGCCAGCCGTGCAACGATAGATATCATTCCTGGAACGTCTCGTTACATCGGTGGAGGATAGCCGATATCGACTTCGTTACGATTTTATTTCCGTCGAACCGCGGGATAATACTCGTTTCCTCCGTGTCACTCGCGTGTGGTCGAACGAAACAGCGAATATATAAAAATATATTACAATAAAAGGTTAACGATCGATGCTACTATTTTGAGGGGTGTGATTTTGAGAAAATTTTACGAAAGATGAAAGAAATATTTTAATTCGAGGCAATAAAGATTAAACAGCACTTTTTCCTCCTCGAATCGAACCGATCGAAATAATTGATATTTGGAAGTTATAAATCGTTATAAATCGCAAAAATCGAATTCCCCACGGCCGACACGCCGATACGTCAAATTCTTTTCCGCTTGGCTCGATCGTTTTCCTTCGGAAAGGAACGCGAAAAGCCAGCATTGAAACGGTGGCTTTATCTTCGACAAGGGGCACGCCAGGAATCCCGCGGGCACGACAATGGCTCCGTCTTAATGGCTGCGCGGGGCACAGATATCGCGGGAATTTCGAAATCCGGCGCGCAATCGCGTTCCCTCCCCGAACCTTTGGTCAAACACAATTCCTCGTATTTCGCGCGATCGACGTATTTAACCGATCGAGTTGTCGTTTAACCGACTTAACTTGCATATCATTGTCGCAACCGGGGATAATAAAGAAGGAAATTTGTATCTCTCTCGATGGAGAGATAGCAGCGGTTGGGAAAGTGTCCTCGATTTCAGCTTGGATCGTATTAACTCCTCGCGAGCAATACCGCAATAACGCAACGAATATACGATAAGTTGGCGAATGAATCACTACCACTTACCAGTTATTAACTTGAAGGATCGTCAACCCCGTGTCTTGAGCCAGTTGCTTCTTCTGGTCTTCCGAAGGGTACGGATGCTGGAACAGAGAAGAAAGAAAGAATAATTTAATAACTCTTGCACGTTTTTAAGATGCACGATGATTAATAGCGCGGCGACCGATGGAATTTTCAGTACAATCGAGCAATAAACGAGTCGAGTTTCTAGGGAAAACATGTTCGTTTTGAGCCGAATCATAAATTTGCGGACGTTTATAATGTCTATAACCTCAATCGATATTTTTGCAACGTAAATCATTCTCATTACTGTCTATTATACGCGTCCGTAAGTATCCCTATAAAATTTTTCTCCAAAGCTCATTGCGATGCCTTCCCCGAAGGTAAAATCGCTCGAAAGACCCTTTCTCTCTCTCTCTCTCTCTCTCTCGATCGCGTATATAGATTTACCATCTTCGTTCGTTCATGCAATTCCTTTATTGGGATTTAAATTTAAAAATTTTTATCAACTACCATTGTGTTAAAGATTAAATCACCTTGAACGTACTTGACGTAAATTTACCTACTTATTCTTCTTAACAATTCATTCCAAATTTGAAACATATAATATAATCACCCTCTTCGAACGAGCAAACTTAGGAATCATGAAAAAGAATCGATCCAAACAACGATCTCAACGTACCTCTTCCTCGTTGACCTATTATATATATATACATCCAAAAACGTTTCTCCCAGTTTCTACGTGTTACATCTTTCTCTAAAACTGTGAAGCTCGAAGCGTGTCCGAGGCGGGAGAGGCCCGGTCGCAAACTTACGCGTTATTTACGACGACAGTGCGTCGAAGTGAGGGCAAAGCCCGGCCGTTCCGCGTTCCCCGGCAGTCTATGCTTTTAAACAATTTATCGAGTGATTTATCGCGTAACAGGTAAGTGCACAGAGCGCATAGATGGCACGGGGGACTTTTATCTGCGCGACGGCAGTCGCATTACAGGGCGTCGCGTCGTCTGGACGCACCTGCGAAATACTATTTATTGCTGGGCAACGACGACGAAAAAAGAGAGAGAGAGAGAGAGAGAGAGGGGGGAAGAGAAATGACAAAAATAGAGGGAAGGAGAGAGGGAGAGAAGGAAGTGGTGGAGAGAAGAAGAAAAAAAGGATCGTTACCTCTCGACTGTAACGGAAGAGAGGCACGTTTTATCGCGTTGTCGCGTCGATGCAGATGCACACACGGCGATCCATCGTGCGCGATACCCTCGTATTGGCTTTCAGGAAGATGGACTTTACGAGGGGGCCATTCGAGATATACTATAGAAGAGGGGGAGAGAGGGAGAGGTCAATAGCGGAGGGATAGGGATAGACGGTTTACAAGATAATCTTTGTGTCGCGAATTATTGAAGGAAATCGACGGATCGGCGACGATAAAGCCCGTGGAAACGACAGGTTTACTGGTGAGCGAGGGATTTAATGGAAAGGTCGTCGCAACTTTGTCGCAGCTTGTTCGGAGGTGGTCGTTATAAATTATTCCCTTGTCGCGTATGAACACCCTCCCTCCCCTCTCTTTTCTCGAGAAACTCGTTTTCAAACGATAGCGACAACAACTTCTAGTTTGTCGCCGAAATAATTTCAACCGATGAGAGGAGGGATGCGGCGCGATTATGCGTGCAAAAGAAAAGGAAATTCATCGAGATGAAAAAAAATTGATCGGATCGGTGACGGGGAAACTTTCTGTTTAGAATAGTAATAATCCGTTCCAAAGGAACGAATTGAGCATAGAAAATAGAAAGTTTTCGAGATATTTCCGGATTTTCCCTTATCGACGATGTATCACGATTATATCGCGGAAGATTCAAGTCCAATCGATAATCACGATAAATGGCGATAAATTATTTTTGAAAGTGAGGGATTGTTCCGATCGAAAGATCGTCTCGATTCGGATAAATTGGATTTCAGGGGCGAGTAAGAGTATCCGGTTACGGGATTGGTAAAATTCAATTTTAATTCAGGTAGTATTAGCTTAGAGTTATACATAGACACGTAGCTTTAAAATTCGATATGATGCGTTTGAAGACGGTTGAGCGGCGGGGGGAGGGGAAAAATGGGGCGGCGTGACACGTGAGCGGGGAAAGGGAGAGAAGCATGGCATTGGCAACAGCTCAAAGACGCGGCGGCGAAAGCGGAGCTAGATGCATAAATGATGCACTCCTCGGTTATTCCATCGGTCTTGTTGCGCGAGTCCATAAATTCGTGTATAAATCTCATCGTTCTTCCAGCGAAGTTACTGCTCGCATTAATTTCGCACTTGCGGCAACGCCGCTCTCCGATGCGCCCGAAGCAACAGGAAGACGAACGACACGTGCCCCAAAGTGCGCGCGTGCGCGCGCGAGAGAACGAAAACATTGTCGCGAACCGCCTTCCCCGCCAATGTTCATCTCTTTGAAAATGATACTCGGACACCGATGTTCCATCATCCCTAATTTGTACGTTCAACGCGTTTAAATTTATTTTTAATTTCGATGATCGATGTCTATTAACCTATCTCCTTTAACCTGTAACCTTTACCGCTTATGTTGAAATAAACGTTAAATTTATTCCGTTCGAGGCACGAGGAGATATAGTAGGTTATAATTTAAAAAATGGAAAGAATAGTATTCGTAGAAATTAAAAATAATTTCGATGATTTTAAGATGTTAATTTTTTTTTGAAGAGATGTAAGATTAAAGTGGTAGCTGTTGTCGAATTATTGGATCATATAGTGCGAATTACGAATAAGAAACGGGCTATGAGCGGGAGAGGAGAAACGTTGAAAAAAAGTGACTCACGCGATCTACGGATAATCACGTTAATTATATTACGTGAGGTACACGTTAATCCCGGGGGGACAATGCGTCGTGCATCTTAATTTTCATCTCTCTTGTATTACCTCCCATAGCTATATTAAAGTCGTCATAAAGCGAGGGAACAAATCGCGATGACCACGAATCCATTTATCACCGAAAAAATGGGACACACGAATGTTGAATATGCACAGTATTGGCTATGCGTCACATTTTTACATTTTGCAATTTTAATTTCTACCCCATTCTGAAACCATTTTTATTTTCCTGTATCAACGTTTATCAATTGACATTTTATATTGCCCGTATCGATAAAAATAAAATAAGGGTAGAATTTTACGATACATTAAAAATTATCAATTGAAAGATTTGCAAAAGTTTTTTTCAATTTTTTTATATCACGTACAAATAAATTTATCAAGCTAACTGAATAATTCAAAAGAATAATAATATTTATCGTTAATAAAGATAATAATGCTCTTAATTTATCGACACTGTGTAAAATTAATTATAATAAAATTCGTGACATCGATTCAATTAATTTTTCAACACGATTCGTATCTATTCAATCTCGCATAAAAATATTCACATCCATTCCAAATCGTTTCGATAGAAGAAAAGAGGAAGAAAAAATTTTGCGAGTGTTTCAATATCGTACAATAACCATCTTGAATAATTTCTACAAAACTAATCTAAAAACCGTTTTAATAATTTCCTACGCGTTCATATCATCAATAATAACGATCGAATATAAAATATCATTCCTTCTCCGTTCCGAAAAGAACAAAATACTGTATTTACGAACAATCCCTTGGAGCGTTACCTTACAGCATCGAACCGAGCACACCGTGGCTTCCTCGCTAAAGTAACCGTACGCACGACCTTTGGAGAGCGGTCGATTAAATCAGGCTCTGGTTCCGCGACACGCTCGGCGTAGTAATTCAAGGCCGGCTCGTGCGCGAACATTAAATTCGACGTGGAGTATCGGGGGCCCAACGAGCCGATGCCAAAACTTGCCCCGGTTGCGCGCGCGTTTACGCTCGACGGATCCGGCTGCGCATAAAAGCCCGCGGCTGCACCGCAAGCGGCCCGAACCGCATCATATTTTTACATAATTAGCACGTGGCGCTCGTGGTATTACGTTCCAGGCCTCGCCCCGCCAATCCCCCGCCGCTCGTTACTTTTTCCCGAAGCCTGCGGTATTTTTGGAAACCGCTGTAACCCCGTCCTCCTCCTCCTCCTCCTCCTACTTCTACTCCTCCTCCCCACCGCCCCTCTGTATATCATGTTTCTTGGAGGCGAGCCATGGTATACATGCACCAGAAGCGTGGCCTCACTTCTCTCTCCCACTCTCTCTCTCTCTCTCTCTCTCTCTCTCTCTCTCCCTCTTTCACCGTGAAAGCCCATTGTGCGGCCGTGTATACTCGATCCAAGCGATTCTTATCCTAATTAAATCGGCCGAGAGCATTGTCTGCCCGTGGAGTTTCTATCGGATCTTGCCCGCGCTAGGTAGCGTTCTCTCCATTTGTGGCGTAACGTCATACCCTGGGGTATATATGTATATATATGTATATATGTATATATATATATGGTATATATATATATATATATATATATATATATATATATATATAGGCCGAGTGGGGGTGGAGATTGAGACGTGGTTGCGGATTTGACGGGGATGGATCGCGGAATTGAAGTTCCGCGCGGATCGGGTAACGCGAGTAATTGGGCGTGATTAGAGTTTTGAGGTTGTGGATGGGATGAGATTCGATGGAAATTTCGAACGGTGGTGGTTCTCTGTATGTATATGGGAGATTCGATTTTGGATTAAGGAAGGAATGTCGGGGAATAATCGAAGCGAAAATTTAAAAAAGAGAGTTGCAACGAGACGATCTTAGAAATTTTACGAAATTTTGATATTTTACAATAAAATAATTCTTGTAAAAACTTAAAGAAAAGTCAATTTCGAAAGGATGAATAGTAATCGTCGATGAAGAATGGAATTTTCATTGGCGAAAATCCAAGGATCTTATACCTCTTGCTCGTGTAGTCGCCTCGTTTGGTGTATGCATAAAACAATCAAGATAATTGTTGAAGCTACATCGGGGGACCGGCTCACTGCTTTCTACCCTCGTCTGGGATCGTGGTGGCTGGCGGAACGGAAGGCGGGCGGAAGTAGAAGGGACAAAGAGGGAAAGAGAGAAGGCAGCAGCTATCCAATTACATTGAAAACAATAGTCTTAAGT